AAAAAAAAAAAAAAAAAAAAAAAAAAAAAAAAAAAAAAAAAAAAAAAAAAAAAAAAAAAAAAAAAAGGTAGAGTGGAAGTCGAAGAGAAGAATGGCAGTGGAGAATGTAAGTGAGCAAAATGCAGAGAAAAAGGAAAGATGCAAGAGAAACGCAGGGTCGAAAGAGTTAAAAGGGGAAAAAGAAAAGAGTAGGGAGAAGGCAAAACATGGGAGGCATCAATTCATATTAGGTAAAATGGGTATGGAAAAAGCGAAAAAAAGTAAGAATGAACTCACCGATGGGCAAAGGGGGAGCTGTGATGGCGGAAAGAGCATTGATGGTTTTCATGCCCTAGCAGAGGTTTCCCAGGCTACCCACCATCCCTTGGGAGATGAGTATGCAGAATCAGTTGAAGTCACTAATTTGTGGAAGTAAAAGTTGAAAAGGAAGAGAAAAGCATGGCGGACACCATTGTGAGAGGAGAGAGGAAAATATGAAATGGAAGAGAAGGGGGAGAGAGAAAGGAAGAATCTGTAGGGGTTCAGAAGAAGAAGGAGATTAAATTAGTTTGTATTATTGTATGGTTGGTTAAATTTGTGAAAAGAGATGGATGAAGAAATGGGGAGGGGGGAGGTGGAGATGGAGATGGAGATGGAGATGATGGAAGATGAAGAGAGGAGGAAGAGATGGAAATGGCGGAAATAATTGGGTGGAGGAGGAATAGGGCCCATTTGTTTCTGCTCCCCAAAAGTAGCACACCCTTAAACCCCCATATATTATTTTATTAAACCCAACCCATATATTATTTTTATTTTATTTCTCTTCTCTTCTCTTCTCTTCTCTTCCCTTCCCTTCCCTTCCCATTTGCTTTCAATTTAGGTGAATTTTTCTACTTTTTTTTTTTTTAATATTCTCTTTTTTATCTACACTCGCTACCATCTTTCAATTATGAAATAATTATCATCTTAAAATTAATTGTTCACACGTATTATATATTTATTTTTATCCCTTACATGTATATCAACTATGGGTTCAAAATAACTTTTTTAACATCAACGGTTCACCAAGTTTGGATGTGATCTGTATTGGTTGCATAAGATGGATGGGAAAGTAAGGTGGCAAAAGTTTTTCCACAAAGCAATTATTAGATGGATGTGTGGTATATGTGGGGTTGGTCCACCATGACCATTTAATCTCATTTTTCAAACCAATAAATAAATATATTTCATTATATTCAAATCACCCAAAATAAACTAACATTATACTTCCCTTTTATGCATTTGCATTAACTTTTGTCCACTATAATATATTTATTATAATTTTTAATAAATTGTACGTTCCAATCTTTTCTGTTTTAAATATGATATAATATGTTTAAAATATTCCTCCACCCATTATAATATACACCTCAAAATATAAAAAAGTTTCAATATTTGTTGTGTACCGAGTTTAAAATAGGCAAACTAAATCAAAGAAAATAAAAAACTGAACGAAGCAATCTTAATCCTAATTCTGGGTCAAACCATCTAAAGCTTTAGTTGAAGCAGGAAGTGTTAGATGAGATGGATGAAGTAACGCGGTTGATGATGGTGATGACAAAGTAACCTGGTTAGGACGACCTCTACAACCTCACCATTAACTTCAGCCCCATCTTCAAACTCTTTCAAACCCCACCCTCCATCTTTGTAGCCTCCGAGCCATTCAGCCTTGTATTCATGTGCATGCTACACCTACATTCATAGCGTTTATGTCCACCTTACAACCCTGCATCTGAAACACTTCCCCGTCTTATCTAACTAACCTTTTGCCCTCCAACTTCACTCACTATCATATAGCTGTTCAATCAAGCAACTGGAAAAGCTGGAGCAAGGAGGGTTTAATTCTTGTAAGAAATTAACTTTGTAATTAGATTGGGTTCAATACTCATACCTCAAAAATTTATTATTGAAAACAGCAAAGCTTTCAAAAATCAGCAGCCAGTCGTGAAATTGGGACTCAACCACTTACAGATGCATGATTCCAAGCAGATTCACTGAGGTAAAATCCTTATGTAAATTAACATTACGCTGTTTTTTTTTTTTTTTTTTTTTCTATAACAAGAGAAGCA